ATCCAAATGGTCCGTAGCTCTCGCCTGAATCTGACTTGCTCCTCATTCGTCGGGTGCTTTTACTACTCTCACATCTTTATTCTTTTCCTATTTTTCCCCCCATTTTTCATTTATAAAATTTGGATAAATAAGTATTAAGCAAACGCTATGTTGATTTTCTTTTTGCATGAAGTAACCTTCTATTTGTTTAATTCAAATGAAATAACGTGGGCATTCTAAAAGGTGTTTAAAAATCACTTTTTATTTGAATTCTGGTGCAACGAGCCTTTGCTGATTCTGATTGGGGATTTGGGCCTGAAGCTCGGCCTTTAATCTATTCACTTCTTCGAGGAGTTGAGAGATAAGGGGATTCTCAGTGGAGTCAGGCACCATTGGAACTCTCTTTCGTAAGTTTCCATCATTTCTTGAAAGTAGGGAAGCTTGGTCAAGGGCATGCCGCCTTTCCTTGGATTTAATGTACTGGTTGTCGAGATGTGCCTGTTGAAAGACCCCTGAGTCTCCTACACCCCCTTGTTCCTCCAAGGTTTGTCATTCCTTTCCTGGATTGGGGGCTAGCCTAGGTTGTGATAGAGGACTGAGTTCTTTGATGAATGGGTCATTGATCCTTGAGCCTATATGGATAGGTTTTTCTTGACGTTGCCTCAAGAAGTCTCAACAATCATGGTAAACAGCTCTTGATCAATCATTCCATTCCTTTTGCAAGGAGATGTCTTCCTTCGCTTCTCTTGCTTTGGTATGAAGTAGCTGGGTTGAGATAAGTCTTATGGTAATCAATATCTTGGTGAGAATGTCATCCCTCATTAAGAACACCCATGTTGGAGACATGTGAACCTTCGTGTTGGGGGGTACCCATGTGATGATCCACAGTCACAAGGGCGATGGGCAAATGAGACTGAATATGTCTAACCTCATGGAGCATGTCGAAGAGTTTCTCATACTGTTCTTGGAGAATCTAAGTCATGATCGTCATTTTGTTGTTATGAGCTTCAAGCTCTTCAACTTTAGTCTGAAGAGCAACCTTTTTCCTTTCCCTCCTTCATTCATTGTCTCGCGCTAGGCATGAGGGGATGTCCTTCTGTGTGATGTGGCTTCCTTCACTCCTCATGTTGGAGAAGGATGCTTGATCAAATGAGAGTGTATGGAAACCAACTTGACAAAGCTTGTGAGAGTAAGAATAAGTGTCGTTCCCACAGATGGCGCCAAATGTTGATGCACAAAATCAGTGAGACTTTGGACAACATAAAGTCTTAAGTTTATAACATTCGCAATGTTGATCTAGTCACCTAGTGAGGATAATATGTAGAAAGATAGAGATAGGGAAGCAAACACAAAATGTACGTGGTTCACCCTAAGTTGGGTTACGTCCACGAGGGTAGAGGAGTTCTTATTAATAATGTAGAGTTTACATAACACAATGGTTTAAGCACAATTGTAGGATAATAGTCTCATTTTATAGTTGAGAAGAGTCTCTTGCTTTTGCCCGCAGTCGATGTGGGACTCTAGGAGCTTTATTCTGACGTTGATATGTGTCACTTTATGATTGGCCTCCTGGTTGGAGAGAAACTCTTGTGCTTCAACATGGGATCCTCAACTCGAATCCTACAATGGATTCTTGAATGTATGAAGTTGACTGGTACTTGGTAGTTTCAGGATTGATAAAGTATTGTACAAATAAACCTTATTACATATGCATCCTCTATCACTACAAACTAGCCTAACTCACATCATTCTCTATCATTGCAAACTAGCTTAACTCATGTCTGCACATCCTCTTTAATTGCAAATTAACCCAAGTCATGTCACAGAAGGAGTCGAGCACGAGCAGTATTAATTACCGAGTATGATAATTGAATGGGTTATCCTCACCACAAAAAGCAAGCAAGTTTTGGAACATTATCCAAAACTCCCTCTTATATTTTAGGCATGCCCAAACTTAGGATTTCCCCAAAACTTGTGTTCAACAAAAAGCAATACCTTTGACCGACAAAAAAAAAACCCCCTAAAATCAAAGTCCTAATTTGAGAAAATACGGCGCCACAAATAACGGTCAGATGAACGTTTGAAACTCCTTATAAACGCAGTGCCGCAAAAACGCGGCTTTCAAATCAAACGACTTCAAACCAATACCCGCGTCTTTCAACCGACGACGTTAAAAACCAAAATTTTAATCCAATCAATCACCAACGTTCAAACGTTTGACCCTCATCGTTTTTTCACCTCTATTTTCCTTATAACAACTCCGACCAACTCCCACCACAAATTGTCAGTTCGGTATTAACCAATTTTCCTAACCTTTTTTTCTTCAGGTTTTCCCCATATTTTCTACCCTTCGTTCCCCACTTGTTCAAGAAAACAAAATAATTTGATCATTTGGGCTTTGTTGCTGGTTCCTCAATATCCGATCGAATTTCGAATCGTGGGATTTGGTGGTCAATCAATTTGTAGCAATTTTAATGGACAAGGCGGAGCTACGGCGGGTTTTCCATATGTTTGATCAGAACGGGGACGGACGGATCACGAAGAAGGAGATGAGGGACTCGTTGGAGAAGCTGGGGATTTACATTCCGGACAAGGACTTGATCCAGATGATCGAAAAAATCGATGTGAATGGAGATGGGTTCGTGGACATGGATGAGTTCGGGGCGTTGTACCAGACGATCATGGACGAGAGGGACGAGGAGGAGGACATGAGGGAGGCGTTCAATGTGTTTGATCAGAACGGAGACGGGTTCATCACGGTGGACGAGCTGCGGTCGGTTTTGTCTTCCTTGGGGCTCAAGCAAGGGAAGACATTGGAGGATTGCACGATCATGATAAAGAAGGTTGATGTGGATGGTGATGGGAGGGTGAATTTCAAGGAGTTTAAGCAGATGATGAAAGGTGGTGGGTTTGCTGCTTTAAGTTCAAATTAACTAATAGAAGAATTTTTTTTTCATGGTAGTGATTTTCGAATTTCCGTTTTCTCCTTCTACACTCCTCCCATTATTTGCGTACCTTGATTCGCCTTTGAGTTTATTCGATACGAGGACTAGAAAAACAAGGGGTGCAGGAGGTAAAATGGGAGTACGGAAATCACTTTGTTGTGTTTTTTTTTTATCAACAGAGGAGATACAAAAGAAGAGCAGCCTTGTTGTGTAGAGGTTTAGAGGCCCCTCTCTCTCTTGTATAATTCCATTTTATATCAAAGAATGCAAACTCTTTCATTTCTTTGTACCTTTCGGGTGATCTTCCCGTCGTTCGTTAGTTTCCTTTTAATTTCGTTGATCAGAATAGCATCACGTTTTTTCTTTCCCTATCTTCTATAGTTATGTGTGTGTGGTGATTGAACGTATTCGAGGTTTATCGTACGACTAAAATATGGTCTTCTATAAGGAAATTCGTACGTCGTGGAGGCTTTTCATTACCCAAAAAGAACATAGCTTTTTATTTTTTTGGCTTCTAAATTTGTGACAAGATCTGATTTCACAAACTGAAAATGCAACAAGCTAATTGCCATGTTCTATCTAAGTATGAATTGATAACCACTACCAGCTAACAGTATCAATCCGTACAAAAAAGAAGAAGAAGGAATCAAACGGAAGTTCAAACCTCAAGAGCAACAAGAGAAAAACAAAGAATCAAAATTCGACCACAACAACCCCACAGCTAGTATACACACTAAACAAACTGTTTCACTTGGGGTCGATTGATGTGGATTGCATGCATTGTTGGAGAACAATTCAGAAATAAATAAAAAATAACATAACTTGAAATTACAAATCTTTATTAACGACAAATACTTGCAATACAGAATGAAATAACAGAAATAAATACAAGAATTAAAATGGTACTAACTTGATTGAATCACAAATAGAGGCTAACGCAAAAACTATGTCATTCGAACAGTATTTCCGTCGCATTCTTGTGCTTGTGGTTCTACGACAACTGTTCGACCAGGATACAACTATCTAATTCTACAACCTGCACTGGATTATAGAATTCTGACGAATTACTTTGTGAGTTTACTCTCTGTAAGGTTTTGTATGGGAGAGATAGAAAGGAAAAAGATGATATACGATGGAACTAAAACTTCAGTTATATAGGTTATTTTATACCTTTTCAAATACCTTTTGGATGTATCTAAAACCACACAACTCTTTCCAAATAGTTGTGTCAATACCAAAACGTTTTTTAATTAATTTAATTCGAAATTAAAATTAATGAACTCTGACTAATTTTAACTTCTTAGACCCCAAGTGCCAAGGCCCTTGTCTTGATTAATTAATATTAATATTATGGTATAATTATCATAAGCCTAATCCACACAATTAATGCCCCAAACCTCAATTCTCATTCCAAATTGTCCAACGCCTAATCGCTAATGAAGGTGACTAAATAAGGACCTCTAGGGAACTTGAGTTCCCCGATGTGGGACTAAAGGAGCTCAAAACTCCAACATGCATGACATGGAGATACAGTCCAATCTCACAGCTAGTCGAATTCAAACTCATGCTAGCTTTGAGATCACGAGAGACGAGATACTTTAAATTCACGATCAGTTTAACTGTCTTATTTCCAAACTTGTATACTCACTGCCGTCAAGTTTGCAGGGGAGTGTTATGGAGTTACACACTTAATCACCAATTCAATGCCAATTCATCGTGGTTTGTAACCACTTTCCATTATGCCATTCATTTGTAATTTACGGTATCATTAGTATAGCACTGTTACTATTGTAATGCTTGTATAAATATTGTACTACTACTCATTTGTTAATTAAGAAAAATCATTTTCTACCGGGATGACCTTTATTTCTCTCTATTTGAGTACTTTGGATATTTTTATACTAGAGAAATGAGAGTTCGGCTAAACCATACAATAGATAACCTAATTTGGTATCGAATTCGTCATTCACGAGATTCAAACCTAGAACTTCTCACTTCTAAACGAAAAGGAATACCACCAGACCGTAATACTTAGTGAACGTTTGTCTTAAATCTTCGATAAAGAAGTAGGTCATGAAAGGTTTACGTTGCTCCAAAAAGAGCAAGTTTTTCGTTACTTGAGTAAGAAATCTCTTTGAGGCACTAGGCTACTGCGAACTTAAATCATATTAGAATTAAATTTGTTGCGATGTTGACAATGAATTGTCGAATTCTAAACGCTGGATTTTGAAGCTTGGAATTCCAGATGATCTAAACTCGCCTTCTTTCAGATCCTCCAATCAGAGAATTGCTATTTGCTAGTGCAGCTCAGCCCCAATGCAGAAACTGGCGCGGCCGAGCCTTCTCCGGTCACTGCGCCTTCTCAAATCCCACAACCACCTCAGAATCCACCGACCCAGGTACCCATCTTTCTCTAAATCTCAAAAAGTAGTGAATTTTCAACCAAAGTTTCATTGAAATGTATAGCATTTCATGTTTGGACCTCACAATGCAGTAGCTTGGGTGATGTTGTATGCAAGATGTTCGACGAAAAGCCTGCTGCTTTTGGGGACTTGGTGGGTACTGCGTGGTTTCCGCCGGAGGGCCGTCGATGGGTTTATTCAGCTCCGTATGTTAACACAGAGCACAAAGCTGTGGAGCCGTTGGAAAATTCGAAAGACGGCGGCGCGGGTGCCGATGGAGCTGGTGATGGTAAAGTGAAAAGGAAAAAGCTCAAGGGGAAAAGGGCAGTGGTTAGGTGGCTCAAGTTCTTCAGGTATAAGAAGAAAAAAGATTATGAGAGAATGACTGCTGAGGAGAAAATTCTCCACAAGTTAAGAAAGGTAAACTAATCTGTACGTTAAGAATTGTATACGGTTAATGATTTCGTACAAGTTATCTGACAATTTTTTAAGTTCTCGGCATATCTTTCAACCGATGTTTGCATGAAAAATGTAGCACGGTTCTGGAAAATGTTATGAGACTGATGATGATATGTGGTTGCTGTTTTTGCAGGCTCAAGGGTGCGTTTGGTACGCAGACGGGACAGAACGGAACGGGACGGGACGGGACGGGACGGGACGGAACGGAACGAAATGGAGGTTCGTGTTATGTTTGGTATGCATAGGACGGAACGAAAAAAAATGACGAATCAGACCCCCAAACAATTTCTTTCTCTTCAAATCAAACACAGAAAAATCCCAAAATTGATTCAATCGTCCTCCGTGCAGCATCCACCTTCTTCCCTCCGACCCACCAAACTGTTTCACTCTCTCTCTCCCCAACCTCCCTCTCCAAATCGGGCGACTTCGTCCTAATCCCCGGCACCGCCCACCTGCTCGCCACCTCAGATTAGGAATGACGAGCTTAGCTTCGAATCGGGTCGTGTTCCGGATCAGATCCACCTCACTTACACGGACGAAGATTACGAGATACGGGTCATGTTCGTGACGCCAGACGGCGCCGGAGAATAAGAGGGTTTGCTATGGTGACGTCGTCGTCGTCGGATGGGTTTGCTGGGATTGGGTTAGCAGTTGGGTTACTGGGTTTGTGGTGGAGGAAGAGGAGGGCTACGGGAGAGACAAGGGTAGAAGAGAGGAGGTTACGGGAGAGAAAGGGAGGTAGACAATGTAATTAATGAAAAATAGGAGGGGTATTGTTGTCCAAAAAGTTATAAAGTTTGTGTCCCACGGGATGGAAAAACCCGTTCCAGGGGGGGGGAAGGGGGAACCAAAATCTAACCCATTTTCGTTCCGTGGAACGCGCGTTCCACATAATTTTAGCGCACCAAACGTGGGACGGAACGGTTCCGTCCCACTCTGTTCCGTCCCATCCCACGTACCAAACGCACCCCAAAGGAAAGAGGAAAGGCTTGTTGAAGCTCTTAAGAAAATTGAGCCCTCGGAGCCATCGGAGGCAAACCATGATCCAGAAATATTGACGCCAGAGGAACACTTCTTCTTTCTTAAGATGGGTCTCAAGTGCAAGAATTATGTGCCCGTTGGAAGACGGGATACCAGGGTGTGATTCTGAACATGCACTTGCATTGGAAGAAACATCAAACGCTGCAGGTTGTGGTGAAAACATTCTCACCTGAGGAGGTTAAGGAGATTGCTTCTGAGCTGGCTAGATTAACCGGAGGGATTGTGCTCGGCATTCATGAAGAATACACGATAATTATGTATAGAGGGAAGAACTATTATCAGCCTCCAACAGAAATCATGTCACCTAGGATCACTCTCTCCAGGAAGAAGGTTCGCTTGTCCAATATTTGTCTAAACGTACATCTTTCAGAGAATTTAGACTTAAACTGTCTCCATTAGAACACTGCATGTCAAGCCCAAGCAGAATGGTTTTTAACTACATATTTGAAATGATTTTTCCATGCTGTAACCACCTCATTGCTCTTTTCCGATAAACATTATAAATCAATGCCTGATACCATGACAATCAAGTCCTTTGCTTGCTTCCTCATGACCGGAAAACAAGTTTTCCTTGTATAATATGTTAGTTTAAAAGATCCATCAGTAAATAAAACACAAATATACAAAGAGATGCAGGTATATGTTCGATAAGACAGTTAGACTTTTGACAGGTGTTGAAATTAAAACTAGGTTCCCTGATCATATAGTTGAATCATTGTATGTCATTATTTGTTCTCATGTTTTCCCTTGTATTCTCTGCTTCCCCATACAGGCTTTAGATAAATCGAAGTACAAGGATGGTCTTCGTGCCGTAAGAAAGTATATCCCAAAACTTGAACAAGAACTTGAATTGCTTTGAGCACAGGCTAAAAGGAAAGTAAACATTTATACAGATTCTGTGGAAGAAACGCAGGAAACTGGTACTGAATCTACTGATAATGTAGACTCTGGGAGCTCCTCAAAGTTGAAGCTCGAGGCTTCAAATAAGGTAAAAGAAATGATGGATAGAAGCAAGGAACGCTCTGAGGATGACCTTTCAACAGACGTGGATATATCTTCGGACTCTGAAGATTTATCCGATATTTTCTGTACTGATTCTGACAAGGAGACCGAGAAGAAGGCAGATCGACCTCTGTATTTGGAAGAGTTTGAAAAGTTTACTATTGAAAGTGATGGAGAACCTGAAGATTTTAAGGATCACCTGCGTCAAATATCTAGGGATGCAAAGAAGGATAAATCATTGGACGAAGATGCTGGCTTGCCAAATTTTGATGAGGTTGATCGAATATTTCTGCGTGCTGCTTCACTTTTAAGGAAAAAAAGTAGATGAGACGCTTTGCTTATGATCACAATTCGATTGTTAGATAATTGCTCTTCTTCTTCTAGTCAGATACTTGATTTTTTATGTTATCTTAATTTTTGGTATATACTTCCTCACACGCTCTGCAGAAAATATAAGGTTACTATGATACCATGTCAAAGTCCAAACATGATAACATACAATGGAACGTAAGACGCGTTCTAGAAAAAATTGATTTGTAAAGAAAAAACAAAATATGATTCATTAGCATTCTGAAACGAATCAAATTCAAAAATTCGTTTGTATAATCCAAATATGAACACCCAGAATCCGTACTTGAATTAAGATTCCCAACAAAAACTGGCAGGTGGGAAATTACCAAAATTCAATCCTTACCACTTTCTCACTTATTTTCTCAGGAAACAAAAGGAAAAGCAAGCCCAGCTAAAAACAAGTGGTACAACTAAACGACTAGTAAAATGATGTCGTTTGGAGGTCGTACGACGTTGGGACAATAAACAAACAAATAAATAAGCGAGGGGAGGTGCGATTAGAAAGCGAATTGGAAACCGTGAAATTTTTGTTGCAATTTGTGAGCAAGCGCAGAAAAATGGAGCGTAGATTCGATAGAAGACCAAGACCTTGGCTTGGTTTGATTGGAAACGACCCCAAATCCTGTAAGTTTTCTGCTAGCTTTCTCTTCCATCCAGTAATTTTGTGTTTGGTTGCCGAGAAAATTTGAATGAGATTTTGAGCTGCTTGTGTACAAGTGTAATCTATCATGGGTTTTGCCTTTTAATTGGGATTTCATGGTTTTTTTGGTTTGGAGTGTACAGAAACTTCCACCCAGAAAAGAAAAGGTAAATGAAAAGCTCTTGAAAGTTTAAAGATATGAACTTTTCTTATGGATTATGGTGAAAAAATGGCTTAGGGAAGAATGAATTTGGCTTCCATTTCTGTAATTCCAGCGTTTAATTACTCGAAATCTTGTTTTTTACTTGAAGGATTTAGTTTCTAACTGTCTGATTCACGAGGAAGAATTAACTTTGGTGTTCAACAAAAGCATATAAATCTTCAGGGTAGGAGGAAAATCAGTAGAATGTGATTTGTAGGGGGTGAGAGAGAGAGAGAGTTATTATGTTTCTCGAATGTAATAGTATGTGATGTGTGGTTGTGAATTTGGATTGGACAGCCGGAGCACCTGAAACTTCGGTCGAAAGGGACTTGAATGCAGTTGGAGAACCATATGTTGGTATGGAGTTTGAGTCTGAAGATGCTGCCAAGGAGTTTACGAAGATTATGCAAGGCGTGTTGGATTCATCATGCGTATAGGCCAGTGTCGTCGATCACATGTTGAGAAGAGAATTCTTTCCCGTAAGCTATCCTGCAATAAGCAAGGTGGGCGTTCTTTAAAAGCTAGAGACCAAGTCCGGTCAGTTCGAAGACCGCAACCTACAACAGGAGAAGGGTGTAAAGCGATGATGCTAGTCAAACTTAAAAAATCTGGAAAATGGGTCATTACAAGAGTTGTCAAGGACCATACTCATCCACTTATAGTTTCTTCCGGGAATTCTATGGTAAGTTTATCTATCTAAATTCAAGAAAAAAGTAATCATTGCCCGAATCTTTACTTTATTTTTTAGTAAATGAAGTTGCTCTTTTATGCCTGTTGCTCTTCTTATCGAACTTCTAAAGCATGAGGAGAAAATGATCGATGGAACTTTGCTTATTGACTGCGTTGCTGAAACTGTATTTTCTGAAATCGTAGTTTATGTATCTTCTGATCAGGTCTAAGTGGTTTAGATTCCTCATCCCTGCTATAACTAGCATGGTTTCCGTCTAATGTAATTCACCAGCTTCTCTATGAATGGGGCCTTTCAGGTTTCCATGCAATGGAGTTTCACAGGCTTAGTTTTTGGATGTTCCAGATAATCGGAAAATATATTATTCAGGATGGGCGTATTTTTCTTTCCTTTTAAGATGAAGAATCTCTTATTTAGGTTGTTTCTGCTATTAGGAAATATGGTTCGACAAAGGATCTGAAAGTGTTTATGGGTACATGATTGCGGAAGTGCATTACTTGCAACCTCTGAATCTGATTTTCTCTCAAATAACTTTGCAGGATGCAAAGGATATGAAGATTGCAGAACTCACTATGGACCTGGAGCGTGAAGAGCAATTATGTGGACAATATCGTGAGCTACTACTTGCATTGCTGAATAATGTTGAGGAGGAGACAGACCACATAGCAACGAAAGTTAGAGGAGTCGTAAACTATGTAAGAGAATTTGAGACTCAAGTTGAAGGGATTCCAGAAAATCAAATGGAGTCAAGTTCGAGGGCTTCCTCAAAATCAAACGGAGACTGAAGTTCAAGAGCTTCCACAAAATCAATCAGGCGACAATTAGAGACAGAAGTATGGCTCTCTGCATACTAGTTGCATGAGGATTCGACTAATGTTCTCCTCGGGAGTATTCTGACAGACTAACATACTGTACAGCAGAGTTGGCTTGGCTGATTTATCGCACAAGCAATCTCGAAAAATGTCTTGAACCGATAAACTTTCATTGTTTAATCGAACGAAAAAAACAATGAAAGTTTGTGGAAGAATGTTGGATTTTCATTGAACTGTAGAATAATGGCACATCTCTATTTGTGATAAAGAAATTGATTGCAATTAACACTGTACATTCTTTGATGATGGAGCTGAATGGTGAGTAATTCACAGATGAAATCCTAGTTTTAATTTCCAATGCTGCTATCTACAACGAGAAAGATTTTGCATTGTTCGTAAAACCAAGTAGTTTTTCTCGATTTTCCGATCCTTATCACCCTGCAATCATTAACAAGCAAATTAGTCAATTGCGGAAATTGAACTGAATCAAAAGTATTGATGATTGCAGGGTGATAAGGATTACTATCATAAAATAATAATAATCATAAACTCAAAAGATTTATATCAAAGAATTCTAAAGTTGATTCATGAACAGATTCGAAAATTTTCCAATGATTACTTATCTCAAAATTCACCCTTCTTTATTCTCTACTTGAAATTTTTTTCATCGGTGGTGCATTCAACAAGTTTGAAATAAAATAAAAATTCGCACCAAACATATATATTAGGGAAAATTAATGTCTAATTTGGTTTTAAAACAAAATTCCACCAATTACCAAATGTTTTAGGATTTGAACTAAGTTTGAATATCATCATTAGCTTACCAATTGCACTAAACGTTAGCAAAAATTCTACATTACCAAATAGTTGTACCATCTCTCTAATAAGGTGTGACCCACATGCATGACGGGACCTACCTTTATTAGAAAGATTGTACAAATAATGATACAAATTTGTGGTAAGTGTAGCATTACGCAAACGTTAACTAAAGAATTAGATAGTGATTATACAAAGAAGAGCCCATATGAAGTTTATAAGTAACAAAATGGATTACTATATAATCTAGATGTGTTAGCAAATACAATGAGTTACCATACAGACCCTTTTAATTATTGATACATGATATTTTCTTTTTGGAGTGAAACTTTCCTTACATCTCATTTGTCCCACATTGGTCAAGTTGAGAAGTTTCACACTTTATAACATCAAATCCATCGTACAAAAATAATTGGAAAGATGGACCATTGAGAACAAAATTGGGCTCAAACCTCGGGGTTGGGATTCGATATCAAATCCAATAGTAAATTTATTTTTTTAATTTCGGATTTAATTAATTATTTTTTAAACCAACAGACTCATCCTTTTAGATGAAGTCTGAGACATCGAAAAAACGCCAAAGAGCAATGCACCCCTTTTAGAAGATGCATCCCAAATTCATACATGTTCAAACCAAGTTTTCCGGTGCTAGAATCCTGGTTTGATCGTTGAATCCTGATGAAGTAGATATCCATCAAATTACAAGCACTGAGTAGGGATGGAATTATGTTTCAAGGAAATTGCGGTCCGCAAGCCTCGATCATTATTTTTACTTTTTTTGGTAAAAAATAAAGCTTCATTCATGAAAGGGAGATTACAATATGTGCAAGATAGGCCTAAACCCAACCAAAACAAAAGAATAGCAAGACATAAAATAAAAACAAGCTCAATCAAAGAGAGAGCAACAATCCAATACATAACAGGACGCCCACATACAATTAGGCCCGTAGGCAAAGTAAGAAAATACAACAACAAAACCCTAATCTTAATCAGCACAATGGCAGCCACCATCGTTGCCACCTCCACAACAGCCGCCACAAAGGAATACATTACCCTAAACTGAAGAAAGCGCCCTAACTAAAAGCTAGATCTAAGAAGGTTGTGCAGAATCCATCCTCTAAGAACCAAAACCGCCACAACACCTAGAAGAAAAGATACAAACTGTAACAGGAGGAGGGGGAGAGCAAAGGGGGTGTGCAAAACACCCTTGTTTCGACGTGAATCGTTCCACACTTCGCCTAATTTTTTCGGCAAGCAGAATCAATAGTGAATTGTGTGGGTTGGCTCTAGTGTCAAGACAGAGCCCAACACCTTGAGACCTAATTTCTGATTAAAGGTTGGAAAATATGAGGGGGAGCAAGGGGAAGGAAGGAAAGAGGGGTGCAATACGGAGGGAAGTTGGGTTTGGCGATGATCTACCATTGAGTGAGGAGAAGGTCCAAAACTGAGACAAGAGCTCAGAAAGCTGAAATAAAATCCAGACGAAAACATAGAAGAAGAAGAAGGGAGGAAGAAAAGCAAAAAACAAGAGAATCAGGGAGCTATCACCGACCCTAAAGCCAAATGCTAGGGCCGGTGGCTATAAGATGGTTTTCTTTGGGGTTTTCCTTCTGCAGAGAGAGTTTATTATTTTTACTTGTTTAAAGATTATCTTCTTTGCTTTATACTCTATCAGTATATTTAGTTGTATTTAGTGTTTGTTAGCATATTCAAATTTATCTCTATATATATTTATCATTGATTGTTAGGTTATATCCAACAATTACTAGGATTGTTAGGTTTTGAGTTGTTTTTATAAGCTTTTGAGGATTTAATTTGTAGTTATTTTTCACACATTTTAAAATATAAAAAATAAAACAAAAAAGTTACAAAAAAAATCATTGTGTTGTAGAACAGTGGATGCCCACTCAAATAATTAAATGAGTATACTGCCGATTTGCCCCCTGAACTATCACCCAACTTTCGATTTCCCCCCTGAACTTTTTAATTGGAAAATTAAGGACTTAAACTAATTTTTTTGGCCGATTTGCCCCCTGCTGTCAATTTTTCATTCATTCCATCCAAATTTTTGTTAAATGGAAGCATATGCACAACATGTGTGGGTAGTTCGGTCGCTTCATTCTTTAAAATAATTGAAAACCTTAGATTTCTAAAATATAAACCTATGCAAATATGTGTGATTCTATAGCTTTTGTATCTAAAGGTCTAGTGAAATGACACTTTTGTCCACAAATGAGAGTTATGTGGTTTGCACATGATAAGAGTTAACGTTAATTTGGATGAAATCTATGAAAAACTAATTGTAGGGGGGAAATTGGCCAAAAAAAATTAGTTTAAGTCCTTAATTTTCCAATTAAAAAGTTCAGGGGGGAAATTGAAAGTTGGGTGATAGTTCAGGGGGCAAATCGACAGTTTACTCATAATTAAATAATGGGCAAGTTGCCCTTCCACTGTCTGAAGCTTGCTTCCTACGACTCCTATTTTCTATATAAATACAAACCCCACACAACACCAAAGTAGAGAGACTCACGGCAAAGATAGGAAGGAAGAGAAAGAAAGAAAAGTGATGAAGAAGAGAGGAGAGAATAGAGAGAGTTATCTTTGTACTTTTATTATTCCAAATTATAATGAAAGCACCACTACTGCCCTGAGGACGTACTCCAATCACACTGACTATAGAGGAACCTCGTAAATTTTGTGTCTTATTTATTTATTCCACTGCGCCTACCATAGATTTTACAACACGTTATCAGCACAAGAAGCTCTCGTGTCAGTGGAAAACACAACTTCCTCTGCCACCTACGACGACTCCTTTTTCAAATCCCCAATCAAGTGGGAAGCCATGGGGTTTCTTATGCTCAATGGCTTCAGTGCATCACTGCATGGAGCTACTAATTCTCAGTCTCCAAATTTTCATAACCTTCAGGGAGGTCAGCTGCAAGCACAGAACTACGGAGGTGTAGGGGCAACGATGAACCAAGCTCCAAGTCAAGGTTCTGAGCATAAGCATGTTGGACAGTGCAGCTGTTGTTGCTCTTTGTGTTGTTGATATGTCCTCTGAGGACACCACTGAACGAGGAAGGCGAGACTGATGAGAAACATAGAAAGTGCTCAACTTTCTAAGTAGAGGAAGAAGTATTATGTGGAGGAGCTGGAGGATAAGGCAAAAGCAATGAGAACTTTTGAAAATATAACAAAGAGAATAAATAATAAAAAAAAATTTTAAAAAAAATTAAAAAAAAAAAAGAGGGAACATGGTGCATCAACACCACAAAAATAATAAATAAAAAGGAAAAGGTTTGAAATGATGCCGACATAAAAGAGAAAAAAAAAGGGGAATGATACATTTTATTTATGAATGGTGTTGGCTTAAAATCCTTTCAAAAGTTATATTTACTTTAAAGCAATTTATTTATCATGGACTGTTTTACCGCCTACTACTTTAAGTTTTGATTTATGTGAATGGTGCTGAATTAAAGCCCTTGTCACAATCTTTATTTACTTATATGCAATTTATTTACTATGGCTGAAATTACCATCTATTGCTTTAATTTATTTATTGTACTTCTTTTGTTACAATGAGTATCTACAGAACTTAAAGTTCCATCATACAAAAAGATCGGGTATGAAGTCCCTTGATCCTTAAGATCAGGACATGAAGTTCCTTGATAAGTATTGTAAGTCTGAAGTGCTGCAGTGCCTCAACTCAATTGTAATAAAAGTCATAAGAGTCTCAGTCCATAGACTATTAAATAAGGACCAAAAATTCCTTATGTCCATACTCAAAATGGTTTAGCATAAGCATTTATTATGCGGATAAAATTGATTACCTGCGCACTGCACATGAAAACGTAATTGCCAGTTTCTACATGGGGACATGTCATTTTACATGATGCAATATTAATTTGGCTGAGACATGTTGCCAACCATCAATATTTTTCAATACAACTTGTGTTTGGGCACTAACCAAACATTACACATCTACGAGTTTTTGGTTGTGTTATCTTTGTGCTTATTGCATTGCCACAACGTACTAAAATGAGGCATTATCGTGGATTGGGCATTGATATTGAACACCATCTATCATTCAACATTTGAAACCCTTGACTGAGGATATGTTTACTTTGTGGATTGTCATTTTGACAAGACAATTTTCCCACCGTTAGGTGGAGAAAATAACATCGTTCCAAAAGAACAATGAGAAAATATCATTGCAGAAGAATGATGAGAAAAGACTGTTCCAGAAGAACGAAGAGAATTTGTCTTATTTTGATTTACGAAGCAATCAATATAAAAATGAAGTAAGAATAATTGAATGATGTAATGAAAGTGATGAAATCACATACACTTACTGGAAATGTGCCTACAAGAATTAATGTCCCTGTTAGACAATATAGTGAGACAGTAAATGATTTATTTGTTGCACGCCTGAAGCATGGTAGACCTTTAGACTCAAAAAGTTTGGTCATTTGAAAGAAGAAGAATATGATATTACTGAACTATTGCATTCTCGAAGCATAACTGTTGTATGCCGGAAGTGTAGCAGTTGACGCATGGATACAAGTCCCAGAAAGGACAATCTGCAGATATGAGAATTTTGATGTCTCATGCATGAAGCATGATAGATGTATAGGTTCCAATGACTCAAATCCCATAAATGGAGATTAAAATCCAAGCTCTATAACGCTCAATAGGAGGTTATGATCTGCATTCTCTAAATTATGACTATCATGGAAGAGATAATGTAATGCCCTTGAAGAGGCAATGGATATCCAAAGAAATGAAAAGCTTTTATGCATTTGCATGCACATGAGAATATGGGATCACGAATTGATGATAACCAATGGTAATTTTGGTTTTTATAAGTAGGTACTAAATTTATCGATGAGCTGTGTTGATATTGAGTCCTGTTCTTTTTCGTCAACAAAAATTATTGGCCAAAATGGAAAAAGGCAATTCCATTACAATTTTGTAAGAACGTGGAGAAATGGACCTATATATATATATATATATATATTTGAATATGATACAAATAGCCAAAAGAAGTTAAACCAAGGAGGTTACATATGAGCATTTGTAATTCAGTGAAATACACTCATATGATATGACACAAGGTTACTAATTGAAACCTGAAATTATACTCTTGTAAATGAGTTCATATGAATGGAAGGGTTGTGAGTCGCCCACATTATATCTCCATAAGTAAATCTCTCAAGTATACAAGGGAGCAAATTGCTCTGTATATGTTCTAAAGGAAAATGTGTCATGAAGTATAGAAAATCCTTGAAGGATTCAGATTGCTTACATACCAATGGATTGTATAAACTGCCTTAGTGAGTACTATCATTATGATATTGTTGCAACATACTAAAATCTCTTGTAAGAGTTGTTGATATTAACTTGAAACTCCTTAAGAGTCTAGAAAGATTGTAAACTGTTGAGAGAAATATTGTCTCGAGCTGCAGATCGAATAATCTACCAACACGAATCTTATCCATGATGTTTATGATATTAAAGAACTATATGGATTAAAGATCATGAGTTGAATACTCAAGTGGTTAATCAATATTTCGACACTAAGAAAAATCATTTATCTTTGTGAGGGTAAAGATAAATTGATATTTGGTCCAAAAGTGCCACATCTTATTGAAGTATATGCTTTATTGTATTTAGCACAATACATTGAATGAAATAAAGCTTATCTATTAATATCTCCGAGAAATTACAGATATGTGCATACATATGGGTTAAAACAAACAAACAAGATGGAGCCTTCACAAAGATTGCTCATGTGAAGCCTCAGTACTTGGCAGTACCCCATAAGGGGGAGGCATTGGAGATTCATCATGTGGCACCCCAGTACTTGGCAAAACACCAGAAGGGGAAAGCATAAGTTGCCTTCGGAATCTAGCAATGAACCTCTGGTGGTCACTTTAAATTTGACTTTCGAATTCTAGCAGCTGGTCGAGCTTTCTTTTTATGCTCATTGAGTAATTATTTGCAAGCACGTGCAACTCTATTATCTTGCTTGAGCCCTTTGATCTCTTGTTTAAGACTTGTCACCTCAGCCATCAATGATTCAACTTGGCAAGTTTGAGCAAGTAGGCGTTGACCCATATTGGATACAAAGCCCGCACATTGAACACTGAGAGCCAATGAGTCTTGAATGGCCGACTCATCAGACCATTTTGAAAGGATTCTGTTATCCTTGAGAGTGAGAAGATTCCTAGCTACCACTGTAGCAATTATGTTGTTCTTCATCACAGAGTCCCTAACCGTAAGAGGATCATTAAAAGATAAGAAAGACGGACGCCTTATATTATCCTGACATGGCTCGTTTGTATCACTCGTAAAACTCAAATCTAAGCAAATGTTAGATGGGCAAACCATTTTCAGAAATTGATGAAAGAAAAGGTTGAGTAGAGTGAAAACTCATAAATACAACAAAGACAATTTTCACAGGCGGGCAATCTTCAAAGTGTACATTTTGAACAAAATTAATGTCTCTATAAAAGAAGAGGCAACAGAGCCACTTGTTTAAAAATTGCAGAGACACTGCTATCCGAATTTCAAAAGCCAGGTGTTCCTGAATAAAGTTCGTTGGCATTTTTCAGATGCAATCTTAGCTTTTCGGATATCACGTGCAACTTTGTCAAATATCTCTGACAAAGTTGAAAACGCGTAAATCTTACTGTTCTAATTACACCACAATTGCTGACAAGAGTAAAGACACAACACCGCTACTTGCTATTGGGAAATCTCTATATATGTCGACCTCCGTTCTCCATAACAAGGCAAACCTACAAGAATACCTAATTCTTCCTCATCTCCGAGAATGCATCTTCAACAAAGCATCTCGAAATACTCAGTTTTCTTCATCTCCGAGAATACCTCTTCAAACAAGTCACACCATAACAAGAGTATCTCATATCATCAAGGTCGAAAGTAAGGGTATCTCATATCATGCTTTCCATTGTCCTTTTTCTTTGTTGTTGCTCTTACCTGCAAGACAAGGAGAAAAAGAGCAATCAATCGCCACTTGGAATCAAGCTTCCGATCTGGAATTGATTGTCTGGAACCTTTGCCTGGTTGCTTACCATGCATTGCTCTCGAGTACTCATTTTTAACTGTTTATGTTGGTTATTTACACTGAAGCTGCCAAGCATGATGAGTTGTTGATAAGTGATGTTTTGAAGGACCATTCAAATGCAAGGGTTGTTTTCCACTCCAGCATCAAGGGACAAATACTGCAAGAGAAGATGTCACACCTGCATGGAGAAAATTAGGGAAAATACCACTTCTGCAAGGGGAACAGATAAGGCAAGTGAAAATGATACATTGAAGCATGTGGAGACAAACACAACAAAACATGTGTTATTTCATCCCCGACGGAGCCGAAGATCACTTGTCACGTAGAGCTGCTCGTGGTCCCATTTCATTCAAGAACAAGTCCCAAGGCCTTTGAAGAAATCACAAATCCGATTCAAGATCAAGTGTCCACCACCCTTGAATCTAATTCAGCTCTAAATAAAATGAGTAAATTCATACCTTTGGAGGAAGTCTAGCAGAAGGCCCTCCAGTCCAGTTCAGAACAAGCCTGTGGAAAGTCAACGAGCACAACAGATATGGTACTACTCATCAAGGGGAGCATCCAAAAACAGATCAAGATTTTAACGAGTCAATCGAAGACTTGTGGTCATCTAATGGGGAGTTTTGTAGAACAGTGGATGTCCACTCAAATAATTAAATAATGGGCAAGTTGCCCTTCCACTGTTTGCCGAAGCTTGCTTCCTTCAACTCTTTTTTTCTATATAAATACAAACCTCACACAACACCAAAATAGAGAGACTCACGGCAAAGATAAGAAGGAAGAGAAAGAAAGCAAAGAGAGGAAGAAGAAAGAAGATGATAGAGAGAGTTATCTTTGTACTCTTATTATTCCTAATTATAATGAAAGCACTACTGCTGCCCTGATGACATACTTCAGTCACACTAATTATAGAGGAATCTCGTAAATTTTGTATCTTGTTTATTTATTTCACTACACCCACCGTCGATTTTACAACACATTAACAAATTTTGGAACCGAACAAGATGTTAAATGAGACCTTCCCTCCTCACCCAAATGAACTAAACATTCTAGGCATGGAACGATAGAATATAAGCCAACAACTACTTGAGTAAGGCGACTCAGTGAGATATTGAAAGGAGAACGAAGTGATAGTCAACTTCTATGTTCTTAGAGCGAGCATGAAAGACAGTTTATGTTTTTATCAAATGCATGAGAAATTTATAACGAGGCACTGTTAAATAGCGTAGGGAGTAAAAAAGCCATATTTTAGGTAGTTCAAGCAAACGTCTGTACTGTGCTTGGAAAAAACAGAATCTATATGTCGCCGCATTAGCTTCTTGATTGCCTTTCTTCTTGCATGATCTGAGATAAAGGAGGATGTTTCTATTTTTGTCAAAAATAAAAATTAGAGTATTTAAATTATTTCTCTAAAACTAACATAAATGGATAATTGTAAATGCCAAATAAAAACATAAATGGAAAATTAGATTTTTAAAAATAAGAGAAAAGAAAGTTAAGAAAAGGAAAGGAGGTAATCCGTAGAGAAATACGCAGTTCGTTCGCCGCAGTGGATCATTCATCTGCCATCTGCGCCCGCGCCCGCCACCTCCCAAAACCAGAAGAAGCAAAAAGTTCGTCCCTTTTTGCTTCCTCTCTGTTGCAGAAGCCAAGCGAACTGTTGGGTCGCGATCTCTCTGTCAAAACAAGTGAGTTAATCATTTTCTCTTAGCATTTTCACTCTTTAATTTCCTAATCATTTGTTAATCTGCCCTTAGTGTAAACCTATGATTGTGTTGTTTTGCTGTTTTTGGAATTTCCTTAATCTGTTTGACAGCTGAGAAAAAGTAGAGGACTATAAGATGTGGGTAACTTAGAATTCAGCAACCCCAGTTTTGGGTTGTTCTCAGTTTTCCAGTCTGTTAGTATTTTCTTGTGTTTTCTCGGCAGCCAAACACAACCCAAGTGCTGTTTTCCGGTGGATATTTGAGATATGTGTGTTGTTCAGCATATGTGATCAGAATCATTGGTAAAATGAATTTAGTAGGGTTTTGCTTGGTTACACTATGATGTGAGACTTTGTACAATTTATTAGGTAATTGAAAACTAGTTTGGTATAAAAGATCACAATTTTTCGTCGCAAAATTATTTTTTTTCGCTTGAATTTTGGAAGTTAGAACCTTAGATAGAGTCTTATCACAATGCTTATTTGGCAGTGGATGATGAAGAACTTTCTATGAGCAAGGATGAGGACGTGTTAGAGAGTTCCAATGGGAAAGATGCAGTCACATCTGAGGGGAACTCGGATGCGGAACCATTTGTGGGTATGGAGTTTGAAACTGAAGAGGCTGCCAAGGTGTTCTATGATGCGTATGCAACACAGGTGGGTTTCATTATGCGAGTTGATGCCTTCCGGAGATCAATGCGCGATGGTAAGGTAGTTTGGCGTAGGCTTGTGTGTAATAAAGAGGGATTTCGCAAGACGCGAGCCAAAAGAACTGAGAACAGGAAGCCTCGAGCAATCACCAGAGAAGGGTGCAAAGCAATGATTGTGGTAAAGAAAGACAAGTCAGGGAAATGGGTCGTAACACGATTTATAAAGGAGCATAACCATCCACTAGTAGGTACACCTGCAAATGGTCGCCGCAGTATGCTTCTGTCTCAAGCACCAGTGAGTGCTTCTTATCTGCATTTTTTTAGTTGCTCTTTTATGGCCTATAGGTTTATTTGTAAGACAGATGCATTGTGATTTGTGTTGATTTAGTTAGTTTGTTTACTTGTCTTGGTTATGATGGTCAATTATCTAGTTTATGTTCATTGTAGATTTGAAAGTGCATCAGGTGTTCTAGTATCTGTTGCCTGGAAGTGGTTTGGAGCGTTTGCAAGCTGGAAAGTTACTTTTTGTTTATGCATCTTACATGATATTAATAGGAATTCTGGTTTGTGGATGAAGTTAGCAGATGCCCCTTGCTTGAACATGTTACTCGATGCTGTCATTCTTATGGTTTTCATAGTTCAAAGATTATAGTTCATATATTTCTCAACTTCATGTTAGGCAACCCATGTTCTATCACCTCCAAATGTTCAAACCAGTTTTGATGTTCAATCTAAAACGTAGGACTTGTTTGGTAACCATTTCGTTTTTCGCTGTACTTTTCATTTTTGGTGATACAGATAGAGAAGCACTTGTGGGAGAAAGGAAAGGAGAAATAAAGAAGGGTAAAGGAAGGAGGGTGGAAGAAATGAAAGGAATGAGTATGAAAATGACAAACAAAATGAGGAAACAGTTTTAAGTTTATTTCACTTTCATGTTTTTGTTTTCATATAATCTACATTTCTCCCTCCGCCCTCACACCGCCTCCCTTCATCCATCTCCATTCCTTGTTTCGCCCATATACTTTCCCTTCTCGCACACAAAAAGTAAGAACTACAAACTAAAAACGAAATGTTTATCTAATGGGTCCTTAGCTTTGTAAGTTTACTCAAGAAGTAATAAAGAAGTTTTCATAAATTATTTGGGTACCGTTATTAGAATTTGTACAAGTCGCCTTGTGTGGTATATGTACTTGCTTCTCTGGCCGTTTTGTGAGATATAGGTGTCTGGATTCTGTACAGTTCAAGTTTTGATGTTTTCTTTTGGTATTGTGCTATAGCTTATCACAGTTACGGTAAATGTTGTACATGTAATGTGCTCTAGTTTACAGTGGTTACAGTAACGTTTTATATATTTTATCGGGGCTTGTTAAAGCCATCTAGCAGATACCTGATGCATGTTTGTGACGGCATGGGAAGACCTTCTTTCCATTCTGTTAGTATTTCCAATAACAATCGATATTTACCATTGATTTGCTTTTTGGTTTGTTCCAGGATGAAAAAGACCTGAAAATTCGGGAGTTGACTGCTGAGCTACAACGTGAGCGAAAAAGGTCTGCCACCTATCAAGAACAGCTTGATATGGTTTTGAGGGAGATGGAACAGCATTCCAATCACCTGTCGAGAAACATCGACGGTATAGTCCAAAGCGTGAAAGAAATCGAATCAAAGAGGGTAGCACCTTCAAACGGTTAAGAGCCTGCTCGATTAGTTCAGCTCCTTTCATACGCTAATCCTTGCAATCAAGACTGGAAATATGAGTTCGAATCCCCCTCCCCGTAGGCTAGAGTAGTTTAGATTATTGACTTGTTAAACAGTAAAACTGTAAATCTTAGTTTTAGGTTGATTAGAAACTGAATTACCCAGTAATTTGCTTTCTTTTTGTGACAAGCGATAGCGATAGTGGGTCAACTGTTGTTAGGGGAGAGAGGGAGTAAGTGGGGATCGACCGATCATCAAGGTTCATAAACATGATTGTTTTTCGTCAGTACGGTAAAACAATAATTTTCCTTCTTTGATTTTTTTTTTTTTTTTTTGGTTTATTTACCCTAGTTTGTACTATACCTACATACAAGTAGCAAGACCTTTTAACTCCGTAGACTTTTTTGTAACCCGGTTTTCTTCCTTCGGTCTCTTTTTCTAGTTGCTCGATTGAAAAATTAAGGAACGTAAACAAAAGGAGGAGCGCAGAAACAGAACCTTTGGCTACGAGAATTGAGGTTGGAGATAGGTCAGGGCACGCCAAACTTGACCCATCAAGTTGCAGTACCTAAGCTTGAAAAATCCCATCGGGTTACCATCTTTTGCTCTGCTCCTAACTTCTTGTTGGATTTACGTGTAAACAACTTATTTCTTTGCTTATAGGTTTTGTGCCTTCTAAGCGTAACGGCTTCTTCCATGTTATATGCTCTTTCTTTGTCCCAAGAAATTTCAGATCATAATTTTATGGCTAATAAATAATATTATAAATCAAGAGGGTCCTAAAAATAAAAAATAAATAGAGATTTAAGTGCCGGTTTCTAGTAGTTTGCGGAAGCTCTAGTCCCTCGTCAAGCACGAGTTAGAGAGAATGAATTCCACATTAACAGAGAAATTTTACACTACCTTATAAGTTAGTCTACTTTTTGTATTGTAAATTAGTTTTATAGTCGGACCTCAACTTCTTTCATCAAATTCCGGTGGAAATGCTCAACAAACAAAAAACGAGTTCTCAAATGCAATACCAAGGCTTGCTTCAGCAGTCAGTCGGGAGATCGAAATGCCCAACTGACGAACATGTCAATCCTTTTGACTGTTCCGTTGAGTTGACGCAAAATGTCATATAGAGAGGGTGCGCATGATGTCGAGGGGGCCGGCATAGGACTTCACGGGTGTTGTCATGTGCCTATGAGGGGGCAGGAATCCCCGATAACAATATCAGCCAGCGCTGCACAGTACACGGGCCAATATTTCTCGCAGTACGCTATTCGGTAAAGTATCGACATGAGAGACGCATATAAGAGCTCTGTGGTGCCACCTCACGTCCGGGAAGGGCGGCACCATACAACAGATAAGCAAGCTAAACATACTGCCATGTCCCGACAGTGAGAAACCTCGTACAAACAAAACAGACCAGCAACTGACACTAAAAACCGTACTCTACATAATCTGATGGTGTCAAACAAACTTAATCCATATTTTGCATCAGCTGCTAATTCGAGTGAAATGACAGCTTCGTAATGGGATGCTAATGTGACAGTATCTCAAGGTAATCACGCCGGTCGTGATTGGCTTGAGATATCGCCACAGGTCATTGCCTATGTAGGTAAGTTCCTCTCCAAACATATGTAACCCATAAACCCTAAATCCCAGTTTCCGACCAACATCAACTGTCTAATTACTTAGGTGAAGCAAATTCCATTCCAAGTTACCATCTTTTCAAGATTCACTCTCAACCAAAACAGGGTCACCTAAAATCTCAAACAAAGGAGAAGAACTTCCCTGCAACGAGAGAGCGTGCGCATGATCGACTTGAAATACCGTTGCATTGACATCCAAAAATCAGATTAAAAAATATACAATCTTGATGGTATCGAACAAGAAACTTACATAAATATAAAATCGGATTCAGCAGCTAGTGAAGAAAAGCATAAACAGCAGTGGAAATATAGACCAGAAGCGCCGTCGTGACCAATACAACAAGCGCCGCCACGGAATGGACGGCGGATTTGCTGCCACACGACAGCATCCCCAGCCTGATCTGAATCACATTCACCATCGACAGCACCAAAAACACACAACCCATGACCGATCCGAAAGCGGACCCCAACATCCCGAATCTCAACGCCTTCAGATTGATGTGGGCCCGGAACGCCTCGTCGACGTCTTTGCTGTTGAGCAGGTTGATCGCCAGCTTCAGTCCCTGCGCCACCAGCGACGAGAACAGGAAGAAGCTGAAGGAGACAACCTCGAACACCAGCAGCTTCTTCGCCACGTCGATCCCGGCGTCGCAGGATGTCCGGTTCTCGAGGCTCCTCTGTCCCGGAGTTGTCAGGGAGAGCCCCACGAAGACGGCGATGGTGAAGAGTGAGTTGACGTTGACCAGGCCGTCCAGCGCCGTGACGTGCACGCTCGTCGTTGACGATGACGACATCACTCTCCGGCCGTCTTGGGTGTAGCACTCTTTTGGGTAGTCGTCAGATCTGGAAATCAAGACAAAAAGCACAAAAAAATGATTAATTTTTCGTTTCAGAGGTCAATTTCTGAAGCTGAAATCTGAGAGAGGGAGAGAGATTGTATGTCGTACTCATCCATGGCGTCGAGATTGTAATTTTGCTTGTGGGGTTTATGTATTTATTTTTATTTTCTTGCTTAATGTAGTTGCTTGTAGTGTTAGTGTTTTCTGTTTGTTTCTTAGGGAAGATGGGAGGAAAGAAGGGAGAGGAAAGATGCTTTCCCTTTTGTTTTTGGATTTTTTTTTTCGTGTAAATTATAGCAAAGATTCTTCAATTTTAATTTAATTGGAGTACTGATCATTTAACTATAAATTTATTACCATTAGTTTCTCAACTAATCAAAACATGCAGCTATGGTCTCTCAACTAAAAATTCATTATCAATGGTCTCTTAACTTTAATCCAATTGGAGAAATGATCATTCAACTTTAACCCAATTGAAGAAATAATCTCTCAACTTTAACCTAATTGTAGCAATTGTCACTCCAACATAACTAATTTTGACAAAATTTTGACGACGTTGATGAAAATGACTATAGCTACATGTTTTGATGAATCAATGAACCAATGGTAATGAATTTTTAATTGAGGGACTATTGTTACAATTTACTCTTTTTTTTTTGTTACGAGACTTTGGGTTGGTTTTTAAGTTGTAAGACTTTTGTAAAAAAAAAATAGTGCTATTTACACATTTATTTTTAATTTTTATAATTTAATTTTTATTTTTAACTGTTGAACTTGATAGATTGAAAAAGATGGAACTGAATCGCCTCCTTAGCATGAGGGCTAGAGCGTGCTAAGCAACTTATCCAGACTCTTAAAATTTAATCCGACGATTACAAATAAAGATCTCTAAAAAAATTATAATAATTGTAATCAAATTTTAATGTTTGAATAGGTTGCTCAGCTAGCTCCCTATGCTCGGGAGGATACGAACTGGATGACAGATCTTAATGAACATATGAAATAATAAAATAATAGCAACCGATAAAAAAGGTTTGAGACTTTGAAAAAAGTAGGTGAGGGATTAAAGAAATTGAAAAGTGTGGGGTTTGTTGAATTACTTTCGCAAAAGGATCAGTGTCCCTAACCTATAAAGTAGGATGAAGACGTTCAAGCAATAGTTTTGTCTTGGTCACGTGATTCAAAACAAACCAAACTCCCCTTCAACTTGCTTCAATCTTTGGACCAAAAATTAGTTTTGGGGATTTTTGGGGCAAATTTAACTCAAGAAAAAGATTAAGGTAAAGCCATTGGCCTACCTATGTGCGTATATACGTCAAAAAAATAAAATAAAAATAATCTGGCAGCCCACTACGCGCCTCACTCACGCTTGGCCTGCAGCGCCTAGCAACTGTGGGCTTCCTTGTCAAGGCAGTTGTTGGCCACCAGCTGGAGCCCAACGGCTCTTTTCATGATCCAACAACTAAGATTAATGGATCGTTGGAGATAGTTTATCCAATGGTCCAGATTCAATTTTTTTTTATATTTTAATTCTAATTTATTAATTCATTAAATCCAACGGCTAAACTCTAATATGATCAAATCTAACTAAAAAAAGATCTAACGGCTAAAAATTAAATCCAACGGCTAAAACAATTAATTTTTTTTATCTAAATCAAAATTCACCAAAAAACTCTATAAATACATGTATTTATTCAAACATCCACACAAAATTCACTTTTATCTTACAATTCTTTCAATTTTTCTTTCTACCCACTTCCAAAACCATTTCTTTCCATTCCCAAATTTTTCAAGATGGCACAAGATCATACTAGAGGGCGTACTTGGTCACATGATGAAGATGTTGCTTTGTGCTTGGCATGAGTTTTGTACTAGCAAATATAGTGTCGTTGACACGAATCAAAATAAGAAACTTTGTAGGCTAAAATGGTTGAGAAGTTCAATCTCAACTCCAACACCAACCGATGAGAAGTTGGTAGTGGGACATCCTGTCCCAAGATTTATTATATTTTATTCTTAATAGTAGTGGAATGACTAAAATGCTCCTGAGAGGCCACGTAGGCCTTCCATGTGGACCTCAATTTTCCTTTCACTTTTCTAGTCTTATTTTACTAGTTTCGAATAGTACTCATTTTTATGGACACGTGATCGCAGACGGAACTCAATTCGGAGCTATAACGAACAAGTTATGTCTGAAACTATGTAAAACTACTGGGACAATTTTAAAACTTGAACTGTGACCTAGTGCAGTGTGCATTAGGGTTTTTTTTTTTTTTTTTTTTTTTTTGGTTTTTATCACAAATAGTCAATGAGATTGATTAAACTCATCATTTTGGTTCATCACTTTCAAAATCAATCAATGTCGTCTATGACATTCACTACTCCACATCAATTTGGTCATTTCGTTAAGATTCCATTAACTATTCTATTAGTTTGTATGTGGATCCACAAATCCAATGAAATGGTGACACGTGGATTACACCAAATAAGGGTTTTATCGCAAATGGTCCCTAACATTGATCAAATTCCTCATTTTGGTCCTTGACTTTCACTACCGCACATCAATTTAGTCATTTCTTAAAAATTTCATTAATATTTTTCGTTTGTGTTCTGATGTGGTCCCGCTAATCCAATCATATACAGCTCCACTTGGATTAACTATAAGAAACTATTTTTTTTAAGAGTGAACAAACGAATGAGTATTATGCGCTAACATTTCTAGCACCCAATTGAAAAAAAAAAAAAAAAAAAAAAAAAAAAAAAAAAAAAAAAAAAAAACTCAATCTAAATTCGATAAAAATTGAATCCAAATTCAATTCAAATTTAATAGGATTATAACTAACTACAGGGAATGTGGAGTGAGTTCAGGGGGCCAAGTACTTTTGTGGTGTCTTGGTGCCTCCTTTTGTTTTTTGTTTTTTTTGAGACCTTGATGAAGACAACGATGACTTTTTTTAAGAGGTGGATTGTCTGCCCTCCCATTTCCATACTCTTCCCATCCTCTCATGTTTTGTGTGATCACAGTTAAGTGACGTCAACATTTTATATTCCTATTACTTTTTATTTTATTATTTTTATAAAAAAATCAATATAAATAATTGATATGACTTAACATTGACCACACAAACAGGAGATGATGAGGAGATTATGGAAATGAGAGGGCAGACAATCCACCTTCCTTTTTTTATCTTTTAGTTTTGGTTTTTAGTTTCTTATTTTACTTTTAGTTTTAAATCTTAAAAAAAATAGTTTCTTATAGTTAATTCATGTGACGCCAGATGATTGGATAGTGGGACAAAAAATATTGACGGAACTTTAGCAGAATGATTAAATTGACATGTGGTATTGAAAGTCAATGACCAAATTTATTGATTTTTGAAACTCATGGACCAAAATGAGGGGTTTGATCAATGTCAGGGACTACTTACGATAAAAACTCTTATTTTGTATAATCCACGTGTCACCATTGAATTGGATTTGTGGGTCCTACTTACAAACTAACAGAATATGTGTGAGAATCTTAACATAATAACCAAATTGATGTGCAGTAGTGAATGTCAAAGACAACTTTGATTGATTTTGAAAGTGAGAGACCAAAATGATGAGTTTGATCAATCTCAGGAACCATTTGTGATAAAAACCCTTTTATTTTTTTACTTTGTTACATTTGGAGATCAATGGTTTGAATTAAATTTGAAAGTTGCCATAAAAAATGGAGGGTTTGTTTTATTAGTACTCCACATGATATTGAATATACCTCAAAATTTAATACCAAATAACTTGTATAGTTCTATACCCTAATATGCAATGATAATTTCGGCCTTTAACATAAACATCCCGAGAGATGGTTGGATCAAACGTTTTTTTGTTTTTGTTTTTGTTTTCTTTTTCAGTTGGACGTCCACCTCCTGCTTGTATCTTTTGATGAGCAAAGAATACCAAGTTTGCAGCGGCCATGTCAGTTGGACAACTATGTATTCTTTGGTTAAAGAGCTGCATGCCAAATTCACTCATTCAACTGCCACCAGTATTCAAATTGGAAGTCTCTTGTTCTAGACTCAAGCAGAAAGCCTGGACACCTCTGTTGGTAAGAATATAATCACAAGAAGACTGCTGTTAAAAATGGACACCTTTATTGCTAAGAATATAAAAACCCATTGATTCATGAAGGCATCGATCCAATTTTCTACATACACTTCACATTCTTCTCTAACCCGATTTTATTGTTATGATTACATAATTAAGATATAAAAACAAAACTATAAAATATGTATATGCACTTAAGATGTGAAGCGTAGTGTGTATGTAGAAAATGTGGGATGTATATTAAAAGTGTAGGGTGTGAGGGTATTATGGGAAACTATGTAGAATGCATTAAGATAAACTTTGATTAGAAAAGCAAATGTGGGACGTGTTCAAAAATATGTAGAGTATTAACAAAACAAGCCATTGTTGCACTCGTTTTTACGAAAAAAATAATTTACTATCGAAATATGCATTTTTTTTGGTAATATGGAAACGACTTTGCGAAACACCCAGAGAGGAAAGAGTCTACACTTTTTGTTGTTGTAAACTTTTACTGTTTTGTGTCAAAAAGGAATCAAACACTTTCATAGGCGATGAGGAAGAAATATCCTCGGCCCTTTCCAAAGCTATAGAAGATTCTATTCTAAGATTTCTATCATCACAGGTCTACACGTTGGTGGGCTGAAAACGCGTCGAAGACTTTGAAGTTTCAAAGAATTACTTAACTCCACACACGCGCGCGCGCGCACATATATACACACACATTATGTGTGTATGTCTGTAGAGGTATAGCAAGAGAGATCGAAAGCTTTTGAAGGTGTGTTATAATATTTCCACGGCTGATATTGAAGGTGCTTCTTCTCTCACCCGTTCATGGGAGTACAACGTGTTTTTGAGTTTCAGAGACGAAGATACGTGCAATACTTTTATAGATCATTTATACACTGCTTTGTGTCAAAAAGGAATCAAGACTTTTATAGACGATGAGCTTACAAGAGGAGAATAAATATCCGCTGCCCTTTACAAAGTGTTAAAAGATTCTAAGATTTCTATCATCATATCTCCGAAAACTATGCATCCTCGAATTGGTGCTTGGATGAACTTGTCAAGACCCTCGAATGCAAAGAATCGAAGAAACAAATGGTTTGGCCAGTTTTTTACAAAGTGAATCCGTCGGACGTAAGAAAACATAGAGGTAGTTTTGGTGATGCACTTGCTAAACTTGAAGGCAAATATAAAGAC